TACAGGATGTTAAATAAATATACTAGAATTTTAAATTAATAAACTACATTTCGTAAGCTCAAGTTTTTGTAATAACAGCAAAAATATCCTTAATTATCTCAATATCTGCCTACAAGGATTATGGGCTCTCCAGTCTCCACATATCATTTCAGGTAAATGAATCCTAGTCGATATAACACTTCATTATCGGCAWTAACGTATCTGTCGTATCGGAAACAATGTTACCGAACACTTTTCTTGTTGTACGCCTAAAACCACTTATAGTTAAATTTTTAAATAAGATGGAACATTTTTTTGGCTAACTAAAATACGTTTAAGCCGCCCGGTACTGATGCTATGTGAATCTCACAAAATAATATTATCATTTACTTATATTATTATATAATATATTACTCATTATAGTATATAGTTTATAAATAATATTTGAAGTGTACGATCCAGTCCCGCATTATTGCATTATTTTGGAAACCAATTATTATGGTATAAACTATAATTATATGTAACTATGAATGAATAAGACTATTTTTAGAATATTATTAATACTTTTCTGTTTCATAATGACGTATTACAATGCTTTTAAGTTTTAATCATCAATTAACATTCGACTTTGGTTCGTCAACGAGTAATTTTGTTTTAATTTTTTTTCTTAAAATGGATTTAAATACTTTACTTTTACCTAACCATCTCTCGGTGTTTTCACTCGGTGCCTATTTAGGTCCAGATTTCACTGATGAGGAACGGAGTAATGCTGGTACCCGAGGTGAATCGATATGTATTCATTTCGGTATAATTCCAAGTGAATTTGACATACGTCCTCAATGTCACTGTGGTAGACCGTTGTACCGAGTATCAGATTATTCACGAAAATTGAGGTATAGGTTTAAGTGTTCTGTAGGTCACAGGATTTCGCCCACCAAAAATACATTTTTGGAATACGTGCACACGGCTGGAGAATTGGGGGCACATAAGATTGTGCAGATGGCTTATCTTTGGACAATGAAAGCTAATACTTCTACTATCCAGCAGGAGGTAAATATAAAAAAAGCGGGTAAGTCATGATCATGAATGTCGCTCTGCTGTACAGTAGGTTACAAGTGGGTTACTGTAATGGATGGAATTAAATTTGAATCCAATGATATTATATCATTGTACACAAAAAACGATTGCGTTGTATCCGTTTTTAAAATTTCGTAACAAAGAGGGATACACGTTTCCAACATCCTATCAGATTACGGATACGGTACAATTTTTAGAGTCCAATACGTCTTCATACCGTATGGATACGTAAACCCGCACAGCTGATCGAATGTCTATTCTATATAATTGACGTTCTGTGATGATACCTAACAGTCTAACCAAACATGAACTGATTAGCCATTGGTGACACTGTCAATGTTTGCTTACAAAATACATATCTATTACAGCGCCAGCAACACGGCATGTTTTATGTTTATAACATGACTATTACATTATTACAATACGTCCTACGTCGGACGTCCTATAGGCTATAATATACTAAATAATTCGACACTATACGTTTTGGTGTTCTATTAAAACCTGAAATGGCTGAAATATGAATTTTTAAGTACAACAATTAGGTTAACAAGATTCCATCTCTAAATCTATTTCATGATCCATTTGAATTTCAAAATTGTTCAAGTAAATTCATAGCAATATTTACTGTTGATCTCAAGTACCTATCGGCTATCAGTGTTTAATAAGCATTTTGCATTTTAATTTTGTAGTCAGAATAAACTTATCTACATTAACACTGAAAAGTGAATACTAAATTTAATTTACACTTAACAGTTATTAAGATTAATCAACAACCAAGAGAGTTCAAACATGGGTGTTCCTGCATTTTTTAGATGGTTGACTAGAAAATATCCATCAGTTATTGTCAATTGTATTGAGCAAAAAGTATGATTATATTATTGTTGGTGGGTTGGCTATAAACTTTTGTAATTTGTTTCCTTTTAGTCGACAGATGTAAATGGAGAACAAATCCCAATAGATACAACCTTTCCAAATCCGAATGGTATTGAATTTGACAATTTATATTTAGACATGAACGGGATTATACATCCTTGTACACATCCTGAAAATAAGTAAATATTTAACAATGTAATCCAAATTTATAAATCATTAACACTATATTTAATGTTTAAAGACCTGCTCCAAAAGATGAAGATGAAATGATGGTAGCAATATTCGAATGTATTGATCGTCTATTTAGAATTGTGAGGCCTCGTAAAATTTTGTATATGGCTATTGATGGCGTGGTAAGTTATTTTATGTTTATTATTAATGGTTCTATATCTTATACAATAACTAGTATATACATACATTAATATTTTTTAGGCTCCTAGAGCTAAAATGAACCAACAGAGATCAAGGCGTTTTAGGGCATCTAAAGAGACAACAGAAAAAAATGAAGAATTGGCACGTGTGAGAAAAAATCTTATTGAAGCTGGTGCCATATTACCACCAGAAAAGCCAAAAGGAGAGCATTTTGACAGCAACTGTATTACACCTGTAAGTTAAGTATTGATATTAAATACAAAATTGAGTTAATACTAATTAGGTACTAATACATTTTAAGATAAGTAGAACTAAATATTCTAAACTAAACTTGGGTATTTGGTTATGTAACGTCCTGTTTATATTTAATATTTTTTGATTAGGATATGTAACGTCCTGTTTATATTAACGAGGTCTCCGGGACTTGACCTCGGTGTGTGCTATTATCGTTAGGAATCAAGGTTACCTTATATGTGAAGCAAGGAACTCAACGTATTTATATATGTGTAACTGTTATTAAATATTTATGTATTATTATTACTACAACATCGAGTCTTATAAATTATAATATATCAAACATCAATTAATAATATGTATGTTAGGTATACCTATAAATTATAACTGAGAGTTACCGATCGGGCCATGGTGTGWCTTGGGTGTCGATATCCAATGTGGGTTGAGGTGGTCGTCCGCGTGCCTTCTTCGGGTTGTTGTCCAACTATCGACTTCCGACTCTAGCGTGTCTCTCTATCCACCATCGACTCTACTAGTCCGGAGTCCCGGTCGGTCATTAACACGACGTGTGCTAAACGTCGTGTCAGCATAATATATATTGCATACCTTGGTATTATTAACACTCAGCATATTAGCCATGCTCAGCGTACGGATTAATGTACGATGTCAATGACGACAATCGTTACAGTTATGCAAAACTACTTGAAATTGACATTGGCATATTTTAAATTTCAACATAATTTAAATGTTGTTAATATATTTTTTGTCTAAGAAGTGTTATGAATACAGATCTATTTATTATTATTTAGTAAAATCTAAGTTGTTATTTTATAATATTTATTAGTATAATATTATTTTTTTAATTCTAGTTAGGTATAACAATAAAAATCAGTAGCACAATTTAATTAGAAAACAAAATATTTTTTAAATTTTTAAAACTGATTCAATTGCTTACTTGTTTATATAATGGCCACATAAGGTAAACAAAAATTATTGTAATTGTATTTCATTGTGTTTTGTTTTTTCATATTGTTTGTGTACAATATTAGTGTTTTAAAAAAAAAAAAAATATTAAATAAATTTTTAACTAAATTAAAATGGTTTTATAGGGAACACCATTTATGGATAAACTATCTGCTTGTTTGCATTATTATATTCATGATCGGTTAAACAATGACCCTGGATGGAAAGGTATCAAAGTTATATTGTCTGATGCTAATGTCCCAGGAGAAGGCGAACATAAAATAATGGATTTTATAAGAAAACAAAGAGGTACTACTAAAATTGTTATATTTAATATCATACATTTAGGTTTAATTTAATTTATACATTTTAATTTTCAGCACAACCCAATCATGATCCAAATACACAACATGTCCTTTGTGGTGCTGATGCTGATCTCATTATGTTAGGACTTGCAACACATGAGCCGAATTTTACAATAATTAGGGAAGAATTTAAGCCCAATCAACCCAAGCCTTGTGATATGTGTGGTCAAATGGGTAATAATTTTGACATATATCAACAATTTTAATTCACTGTTGACTTTGTCTACTTTTGATTGTAATTACATGACTGAAATCAGAGTATCATAATTAATTTACCCCACTAATTATTAAAGATATTAATTTATATTAGTCACCATCTGTGAGGTATGGAGATAAATTTGTTTCTATACTTCAATTTATATCAGTATGACAGAAACTTGACAATATCATTTTAATATTTTAGTAATTTTCAATAGTATTGTGCAATATTATAATTTTATCTGTGTTTAATATGTTTAGGACATGAAATTAAGGACTGTCAAGGTTTAGAAAGGGAAGTATTCAATGATGGATCAACTATTGAATTTTCAGCTGATGTTCAGTTTATATTTGTTCGTTTAAATGTGTTACGTGAATATTTAGAACGAGAATTAGAAATGCCTAATTTGCCATTTAAATATGAATTTGAACGAGCCCTAGATGATTGGGTGTTTATGTGTTTTTTTGTTGGTAATGACTTTTTGCCACATTTGCCATCTTTAGAAATAAGAGAAAATGCAATTGATCGTCTTGTTTCTTTGTATAAAAAAACTGTGTACAAAACTGGGGTAAATATTTCATTATTAAATATAATATTTATTATTATGTGATTAATTTTTAAATTACTTTTCTCTACAGGGATTCTTGACTGTCAACGGCGACGTTAATTTGGATAGAGTACAATTAATAATGTCTGACTTGGGAATGGCTGAAGATGAAATATTTAAAAAAAGGCAACAAACAGAAAAAATGTTTGCTGATAGAAACAAATTGAAAAAACGACGGGAAAAACGAGATAAGTTAATGCGCTCTAATAGCGCTCCCAGTTTTGTACTGGGGGGTCAATATGCACCATCAGTAATTATACATTTTATTAATTAGTTAATTTTATAACGTAGTTTTCTATAAATAAATTAACTAAATATACAAATATATTTTATTATAGGCACCAAATACAGCATTTTCAATATCTAATCCTAGACAAACCATTGATGAAATGAGAAGACAAAGTGTAGTTAGTATTCAAAGTGTACTGATTGTAAAATATTCCAACAAATTAAATTATTTTTATTCATAGGGCAATGCAAATAATCAAGGAGTGAAACGTAAAAGAGATGATAACGAATCATCCGATGAAGAAGAAGAAACACCTGATGAAKTTCGTTTGTGGGAAGATGGATTTAAGGAACGTTACTATGAATCTAAATTTGATGTAGATAGGACAAACCATAGTTTCCGACATCAAGTGGCTTTGGAGTATGTGCGTGGCCTTTGTTGGGTCCTTCAATATTATTATCAAGGTTGTCCTTCATGGAAATGGTATTTCCCTTATCATTATGCACCATTTGCATCTGACTTTCTTAATATATCTGCAGTATCAACAAAATTTGAAAAAGGAACTGTACCAGTATGTTGTTTATAGTTTTAACATTTAATTAATTAATGACTTATGTTTTCAATTTTGTTTATAGTTTCGTCCATTAGAACAACTCATGAGTGTTTTTCCTGCTGCTAGTAGCAATCATGTACCTCAACCTTGGGCTATTTTGATGAGTGATCCAGTAAATAATTTCTTTATACCAATTCTGGGTATCAATATAAATATACATTTTTTATAATAGAATTTATTTAATTCATAGGAATCAACAATAATTGATTTTTATCCAGTTGACTTCAAAATTGATTTAAATGGTAAAAAGTTTGCTTGGCAAGGTGTTGCTCTATTGCCATTTGTCGAGGAAGCAAGACTTCATAAAGCTTTGGAACCATACTATGATCTTTTGACTTCTGAAGAAAGTATGTAAACAACAATGTTTATTTATATAATTTTAAGCGGTGTAGTATGATGAGTGCTTTATATTAATTAGAAGCTTAGTTTGGGAGTTATTATAAGAATTGAGCTCTTATGTGCATCAGAAGTCTCAGTGGCTGATAGAACCCTTATACCAAAAAAATTAACTCAAGCAACAATATCATTTATTTCCAGTATTTTTAGTTCATCGTAATTATAGAATTATTAATTTAAATAATTCAAGTGTTATCAGTGTATTGTGAAATGTTATTAATTTTTAAACAATAAGAAATCTTCATTACAGTAGGTCAACGGCAATTCCTCCCCAGTCCTCGATACCACATGAAAAAATCCTTTTTTTTAAATCTTAATTTGTATATACTAACACACTGTCATATCAGTTACTTTTTCTATTTATAATTTTAATTATTAACTAGGACGACGAAATGTTAGAGGGATGGATCGTTTGTATATTCAACAAGATAATTCTAAGTATGAATTACTTAAAGAGTTATACTTGGACAAAGATAACTATGAAAACTTAACATCTGTACTTATTGATGGCATGGAAGGAAAAGTTATGCTGGCTGATGACTGTGTTAAAATTGGAGGGTAATAAAAACACTTAGGTATTTAATCACTGTTAAAAATACTTAAATACATATTATGAATATTTTTAGATCACTTCCATCGCCAGTTATGGGATTAAATGTTGTAAGATCAAATCAAGTTATATGGTAGGTTTCAAATGGTATTTTACTGTGCAATATAAAATTTTGTCTTATAGAACTTTTTTTTAGTGTGAAATTTGAAGATCCAAACTATGGAGATAATTACATATTTGAAGCTACTCGTCTCCAAGGTGTTATGTAAGTATAATTTTCCTTTACTAGAAATTAAGTATAATTTAGTAATTAAAAAAAAAAAGGCGGGTGCGTCGTGGATGTCGCTCTGCTGTACAGTAGGTTACAAGTGGGTTACTGTAATGGATGGAATTAAATTAAATATTATATCATTGTATACAAAAAACGATTCTGAGCGAAGACGGTTTATCTGTCTAGGATATATTATAGATTATTAAACATTTTCAAATCTTAGATTTAAAAAGAAAAATTTTTATGAATTTCTAGCTTAAAATAATTTCTGTATTTTCGTGAATTTTACATATGTTGTCAAAATTCAAACTTTGAATGCTTGTAAAAAAAAAATTGTGACTACGCATTTCTTTT